CAGTATTGTAAATCTACTGCCTCTCTTGTCAGTTGTCATCTGGACATCTTGCTTTTTCAGGTACACTAAGATGTTTTGCTTTTGAATTTTAAGACCTGCTTGGAGACTGCACGCTTCAATTGTATTAAAGATTTAGAATATGCAAATGAGCACCCTCAGAATGTTCAGTCTTGCATGTCATGACATCCATTGTTTGCATGCTGCACGTGGTGTTTTTCTCGCCCGCTGTCATCGATTTCGTTATACCGCGATTACTGTATTGTTTCACTGTAAGGCAACGTAATGGTGTTTATATAGTCTGGTATCTCTTATGTTCAGATGGTTCACAAGTAAGATAAAACATTCTTTTGCTTTGGTTGGAATGATTCGAACAGAAGTGAGTATTCTTTCTTAATAATGGAGAGATCAACACTGGCCTAAAATAATTGGGCAGTTCTAGATTACCAAGACTCTACCATGAAATGAAGCATTTATATATTTTGTACATGTGTTTTTAAGTAAGATAACTTTGTTTCTGGGACCCAATATCAGTTTAATACAAAACAAGACAGCCAAAACGCAAAATAATGATTTTACAATCACACATATCAGGTGAGAGGGACTCAGAGGCGGATCCCCATCCCCCGAAAATATTTTCCCCATGGAGCATTTCCCCCTAACCTTTGGACTTCATGCCTGCACATGCACATGTGTGCGTACGCACACACACACACACACACCATCTTCTAAAATCCTGGATCCGCCCCTGGAACTGTTGTATGCTCGCTCTCTCTCTCTCTCTCTCTCTCTCACTCACTCACTCACTCACTCACTCACTCTCACTCTCACTCACTCACTCACTCACTCACTCACTCACTCACTCACTCTCTCTCTCACTCACTCACTCACTCACTCACTCACTCACTCTCTCTCTCTCTCACTCACTCACTCACTCACTCACTCACTCTCACTCCAATGGTCGGGTATCCACCATTGTAACATTTTTCTGCAGGATCGTATATACTGAAATAAACTTTTCAAATATATAATGTTGAAATGACTATCCCCAAGGACTTTGTTTTCCTACAACCTGACAAACTACCGATCCGTCTGAGGCCTCCTCCGGCAAGCATGAGTTGCTGAAGACCGCTCCTAAACCGGATCTTCACGGGCGAATTAGCAAGTTCAGTGAGAACATTCACAGTTCAGATATACGTCATGTATAGATGTGACCAACAATCAAGCAAACACAACCTTTTTGTAGTCAAATCTGATTTAGTTGGGCTTTTTTGACAAGATTGATTTTAAAAGATCATGAGGAAATCACATATAATGACACATTAAATTTTTAAATTAATGTTGTTTGATGTTTAAAAGGCTATCTAAATAAACAGGATGTCCTCACGGATTTCATATCTAACCTGACCTTTGATCTGTAGTAAAACAGTTTGACGTGTTCCAGTCTGTAAGCATCTCACCCACAGCTAGTTACCAGTAAAAACATAATGTGATCCATTATATAAAATAAAACAGTAGTGTTTTTCTATACATTTCTTGTTAGAAAATGAAATTGAAAAGCGGACTGTTGTTTACCGAGGACTACCAAGGCAAATTTAGGACTTTTTTCTGGTACTTTTTTACCGAACACCGTTTGTCATACAGACCCGGAAACAAATACCCAATACAACCCATTTAAATTACATTTGTGACGTCATTCCATTGTTTGCTCGCTCCATTACTTTTCGGGAATGGAGCGATGTGTACCAGTTTCAAATTAAAGCCTTCATTTTGTCATTTTGACATTTAATTTTGATAACAGAAATTTCCCCAGTTCTTTGAATGTAATTTAAGCAGGGTGATATCCTCGTAACTCTCCATTTCTTAAAGATAATGTGCCTCGGCCCCTCCGGGGCCTCGGCTCCATTATTTTTAAGGTATGGAGAGTTACTCTGACATTACCCTCTACGTAATACCCAATACAGCCCATGTAAGTCTAAAATATGACGCTTGTCTAGATTAACACAGTTTCTGAATATGAAGGTTCTGGGTTCTTTTCCATTGTTTTATTAATATGATTTTAACTGTTTTTCTGTAAAATATGTTCATTTCTGAGACTAGATGTTAGTCTCGGGATCGCTGGGTCAGGCTCGGTGATGTGGGTGATGCATGTCATCGTATCCTGCACTCTGCAATATCCCAGCTGCACGACGGCGGTCTGTAAATAACCGAGTCTGGACCAGACAATCCAGTGACTACCATCAGATAAGGATCGCTCCCCACAACTGGGATACGATGACAGGAATCAACCAAGTTAGTTAACACTTATGACATGCATGGACTGGTGAAGACAAAATTTAACCCAGATCTTCAAGGGTCTAGCACAGTCATTTCCAGTAAAGCGAAAAAGGCTCCAAAAGCAATTGTGTCTCGTGTTATTCTTCCTGGTATAGTATTTCACTTGTGCTCACCCTCTACAAGACCTCTCTTCACAATATCTAACATATTCCCGACGTGGCACTATATTTTAACCCACTCACTCAGCCATTGCATGTTTACAAAACCAGAAATGAGTTGAAGGTTGGGCTTTTAATGAAAACGGCGTTTTTATTTCTGCCCCGCCACCTGATGTCACGCGTCTGTCATGTCTGTGAACGAGTGATGTCTGACAAAAGCGCCGTCCTTTTTTCACGTCAGCAAAACACAGAGCAGGTGTTTATTCAGTTGCCGCTCAAGTATCAAGTTCTATGCAGTTCGGCGGGTGTAAAACACCTTGAATTGAAACTGGGTCCGTATCACAGACTGTAGAAATCACCCGAATATTTGGAATGCCGAAAAGGAATTGTATCTACGTGGGAATCGAACCCAGACGTTCGGCGAGACGGCCATACTCTGACCTGTGAAACAGAATACAGTTTAAAGCGGCTGAAAACCAAATTCACTGTTCTGCTTCAAAGAAAATCCCCATAGAGGATTCGTATTCAAATCTAAGACAAAGGTGAAGGACACCAGTTGATCTGACTTCAGGAATCTTTCATAATAAAAAGAAGTGCACTTGGGACCGTTCATAATTTATGAATGGCTGTGTGTGTGTGTGTGTGTGTGTGTGTGTGTGCGTGATGTTTTTATAGATAAGCATATACAATGTACATTATATTTATGTACAAAGTAAGTGACCCCCTCTGTAATCTACAACAAATGAATGACGACCCCCCTACCTCCCCAGAACATAAGGGGGAACACAAATTATTAACGGTTCCTAACGTCCAACAAGAATGTTGCTGTTATTTTGAGCCTCAGACGAAACCTAGTAATAATCATGAAATGTGCTGTGATCCACACACATAAAGTATAGACACACAGGTTTCTACAAAACCAATGGCGGCCAGGTTATAAGCCGTGGGCATGATCCGTTTTCCTCACTTTCACATGCAACCAAATCTCATAACATTGCGTGGTGTAGACGTGAACAGTAGAGCATGACGCTGTTTGGACACGAAGCATTAACATTGTCAGCATGTATCTCTACAACTGTTTAGACCGGACTTAAAACGGCGTTAACTGTACTGTTAGAGAAATCTTTTGTTCCCTGTTTGTAATAAAATACACTTTAAAGGTTATAGATATGTAAAACTTTGATATAAGATATATAGCTTTGATAAAGACCTGCAACTACATTTAAATTGAAAATGAGCCCCTGTGAGATGAGGACCCCGAAACCGAGGGAATCTAGCCTTGTTTTAGCATATTGTATGGCGTTTGTATTGCAGACTGCTGGGCCGTGGGGAGATAATATTGTGTAGGTTCTTGCGAGACAGACAACACTTGGTGTAGTGTCCTAGACGACTAAAATGTTTCACATTCAGAAAATAATCGCATTCTGTGTTGTAATAACATAGGCGGATCCAGAGGGTGGGGTGCAGGGGTGTGCACCCCACCTTTTGTGCTGAAAGTTTGTTAAATGACCATTGAAACTCGGGTGAAAATGAAGTGTGCGCCCCTCCTTTTCTCAATAGTGTGCAACCCCCCTTTCTCAAAAAGCTGTATCCGCCCCTGTATAGGCTGACGTTGTTGAGATGAAACCATGTATTTGACAATAGTATGTATCGCTCACTGCACAAGTGGGTCAACATGAATGCGACCGAAAAAGTCGTTTCCAAACACGCTTAGAGTGATTCATTGTTGAACCGCCCGTCTTAATGTTCAAGGAGTGTTGTTTTCGCTTTCACAGTTTGCATGTTTCGTCTGAAACGATGAATAAAATAACTGATCGCAAAGTACCCCCAAGCATGTTTTACACAGCATACAAGATGCCTTAAAACGAGGGGTTCATATGGGTTCGATGTTCTCGCACAGACAACTGTGTGACAGGTTAGAAAACATCGTTCGATTTCAGGCACGTTGAGGCAGCCAATGGAATGTAACAGTTTCCTCTTGGATCATATAAGGTCGACATAACTTGGATAAGAGTGATTGCGTATGGTTTTACGCAATATTCTATCAATATCACGGTGAGGTACACAGAAATGGGCTTCACACTTTGTACCCATCTGGGGAATCGAACCCGGGTCTTCGGCGTGACGAGTGCACACTTTAACAATCAGGATACCCCACCTCTCCATCTTGGATAAGATGACATAGGTGCCTATACAAATTGCTAAGTAGATGGCACCTGTAGCGAAATGTACTGATCTCGACAATGATAATTGTGGGGTGTTCATAAAGTTGGTCATCGTGACGTTTTTCAAGGGCAATTGTTAATGAAAGTAGAATGAAAAAATATATCATGTCTTTTCAAAATTTCGAACATTCAAATCAAACATATCAGGACGCCATACAACTTCAACAATTTAATCACATAATCATGTAATATAGTCTTCAATAACGCTGAGATCGAACCCGTTAAACCTCACCACATAGCGACATAGTATATACTCAGTTCCAAAAGAAACGCGAATCAAACTGTGATACAGTTTTGAATAAATATATCGATGCTTTTAAATACAACGTGAAGCCATAAACTAAACACAGAAATATTCTTTATTCATAACCAGGCGTGGTTTGTGCTTTGTGATTAAGACGTCGTTAGATTGTCCCATTTTGTAATCTTACTTGATAGTGAAATGACATTTCAGTGTCGAGTGTGCCCTCCTTTAGCAGCCATGTCGGTATCATCAGAACACGTCGACGCCGAGAATGACTATCTGTGCATCGAACACACATTACTTCGCCTTGATTTATGTCGTATTTCATGTAATGTGCAACATTTGTAACACTGGCGTTTCTTTTGAATTCAGTAAATGACGATGCTGCTGCTTCTGGTCGTGGTAACAGTGCTTACTGTGTAGCAGGAGGCTGCAGGAGAGGAATATTGACCATGTTTTAAGGACTCAACACGCGAACCACGCATTTGGGTTCTTCAGAACAATTAACGTTGATTATACCGTTATCAATTTGGCTATGGTGTTTAATCATGTGCTACAATAATCGACAATTTTCTTCCTGAACAAAACTGGACTACCGGGTAAATCCTAATCCTCCGCCAAGGCTGAACTGTTCCAGAACATTACAGAGCCATCGTACACTGTCACCCTTGATGACGTCAGCTTGTCTTGAACATAACAGCACCATATACATTGGTAAACTTCACCCCTTCCTTAGCGCTACGATACTCGTAAGTCTATGTTAAGGTATGCGAGTTACGATCACCTTAGCCATAAGATCCCTTTGTACAACTGCACCCAGGACATCACAAAGCTATAGCACTATGCCACCCCTTATCCCTTATCCCGACAACAATGTAATAAAGTGGTAAACCTTATCCCCTACCGCGACTCATCTTTTCCAGGACATAGCAAAGCTATAGAACAATGCCACATCTGATCCATTCGGTTTGTCCAGAAAACGACAATAGTGTAACACATACAGTGTAAATCTTATCCCTTTCGGCCATGGCTAAGCTTAGCCTGGTCGTACAATTTCCTGAACTTGTCCCTGTCCGCCGTCATTTCCTTCAACCTGTACTGGATGTTTAGCAATTCTTCATCCTTCTTGCGAATCTTCTCTGTGAGGTCCCGGGTCCTCTTCTCCCAGTCTTGCTGGAACCTTTGTGCCATGGTTCTCTGGTTGTGTTTGGTTGCCTCGTGGTCAGCTACCAACATCTTCAGCCTATTCAGGAGAGGTTTTCCTCGTATAGTTCCTGGCTCTGAATCCAGGTTGGAGAAGGTGTTTTCAGGAACAAGTTTGGGTAAATGGAGGGTTGGTACTTTTACAGGTTCTTTTGGTCTCTTCTTGAGCATGATAGACTTTGAGGACGACTTAGATTCAATGTTGTGGTTATTAGCCTCGCCGGAATTAGCTGCAGAAGTCCGGGACAGGTTTAATGTCATCCTCTTCATGTAATTCACACACTGATCGTATTCCTCTGAGAGTTTGACCAGCACCCCTTTAAGTCTGCCTAGATTGTCATCCACATCTACACCCTTTTCTATGTCATCTATATGCTGTTTGACTGTGAAGAATCCCTTAGATGTGTATCCCTGGGCTTTCTTTTGTAATTGTTTGATTCTCAGCTCTGATCGTAACTTGTCTGTGAGGACAGTTTCAAGTTGAACGTATTCTGTGATCTGATGCTCTAGAAGATTGATACCTTCCATAACTGAAGAGATAGGATAGGGGTCCACAACATAAGGTCGATCTCCATGTCTGCTGATGGAGGGTGTGGTCACCAAAGGTGTTGATGTAACACTGCTGTTGACGCTGAGCCTAGTAGATGTGGGGAGGTACCTGGCGGTTGCCATGGAGGTGTCTGAAGAGTAGAGCTGGTCAAGGACCTGACATCGGTCATTTAATCTGTCGCGGCAGATCCGTAGCATTCGCATTGACTGAGTCCTCGTCTCCTTCTCTCTGGTCATCACCCTGTTCCGACCTTTTGTCAAGGCATACACGTCATCCATCAACACCTGGAACAGATCTGCCACCCGGTCTGGCACGGGAGTATGGGAGACCGGAAGTCGATGAGACTTGAGTATGGTTCTTATCCACGCGTCACACGCCTTGGTCTGCGTCATCATGTCACTGTTGACGTCAGCAACGGCCTGGCAGTCATGGTGAAGCTTGTGGATCACACCTTGGCAGCGGCCGATGTCCGCCAGCACGTCAGCCATTGTGGCAGCGACTCTCGTGAGGAGCTGTTGATCTTCTTGATTGTTCTCGGCGATACACTCATTTCGTCCAAGTTGTTTTCCCTGTTCTTGCCTGTTTTTGATAGTCTGTGTTTCTAAACCAACTCTTCGCTCCTCCTTGTTAAGGAACACCTTGAGCTCCTTCAACACAGAATCCAGTTCGGCATGGGCTGCAAAAAAAAGCCACGGTTGACGGATAGTTCTATAATATCTGCAGACCATCTCACATATAAAGTTTAAATAATCCCTTAAGCATGCCAGAAACATATGATGGTGGGTTCGAATCCCAGTTCGCGCAGATTGGGTTTCTATATTTGCGTGAGGACTTGCGTGCGTACGTGCATGTACATGAATGTGAGTTCGAATAGTGTGTGGGGCCTTTCGTGCGTATGTGTGCATGAATGTGCCTATGTTGCTGTTTGTCCGGACTAGTTTCGTTTCTATAAAGCTAGCCCAGAGAGAGACCATGCCGCAGTTTAACGAATCTTGTTGCATCCCCTTTTATCTAATGATGCAGGGTAACAAGTAGAATGTTCAACGTCTCTAGGTATGAAGCGGCGGGTACGGTACCCCTCACATTCTCCGGGCACTCTAGCACTACCAGACCACCGATGCAATTCCACCGAATGGTTCCGAATGGATCTCTGATACTGGAATCTATCAGACCACACCAACCACACTACCTACTTGTCCGCAATGCCTCAAAATCGAGGCATCTCCGTTCCGGTGACCTCTCGTGCTCGAGTGTGGGGTCGGCGTCGACGTCGGGGTTAGCTTCCTCGGGTTCCTGACCCGTGCACGTGTCTTCAGTTTCCAGCGGATCCTGGTTGTCTTCTTGACTCACATCCATGACATCATCACCCTCCGGAGCCTCGGTTTGGGTGACATCAGTAAGAAGGTCAGCTATACGGCCCTGGTCACTCTTCCTCAGACAGGTCAACAACAGTGGGTATGCGCGGTCTGTCCTTCTCTCCGTCATGGCGGTCATCAGTTCCTGGTTGCGCTCCATCGACATTGGCATCGCCTGCAGCAGACAGAGGACATTAGTTATTCCTTGAACTGAATTGGTTAAAACTATTTCACAGTTGTTGCAATTACTTTTTCGGAGTGTTTTTTACCTTAAATGATAAGAAAAGAATCGGACCACTTTGCCATGTGAATAGGACCTTATGTGGATGTGAACAGGGCATATATAGGGCCCACTAGGGGAGGAAAAGGACACATAACCATCTGAATAGGGTGTGAATAGGATCTCTTACAGACGTGGGTACGATGTTCGATGCATGTGCCATTTAAAAGCTAATTAATATATATATTAATTAAAAAGAGGGTCATTTGTTCTACGTTGATACATCACCTTATACTTAGCGCTTTCAGCAGCGTCGATTAGGCTAGCCTGAAGCATGTACTTCAGTAACGTCTCGTTGACGTCAAGGTCCGCGAGGACCGTGTCGCGGTAGGCCTCGAACTTTTCCTTTAGGACGTCCATGACTACGGCTCCACACGCCTGGGGGAAAGAGAAAGTGGTCAAAGCGTTCGCTCGGTAACGCCGAAGGCCCGGGTTCGATTCCCCACATTGGGAACAATGTGTGACGCCCATTTCTGGTGTCCCCCGCCATGATATTGCTGGAACGCCAAAAGCGGCGTAAAACCCAACACACTCACTCACTCGTATTTGGTGTCAACTGGACCTCACAATAATATGCTTACTATATACGGGCGGTATACACTGGGACCCATTCTACGAAGCAACTAGGGCAATAAGGGAGCGCTACGACCCTTCGTGAAAAGGGGCTCAAAACATTAGGTAACTACCTATAAGCAGCACATGTAACAAGCAACTCTCTCTCGCTCGCTCTCTCTCTCTCTCTCTCTCTCTCTCTCTCTCTCTCTCTCTCTCTCTCTCTCTCTCTCTCTCTCTCTCTCTCTCTCTCTCTCTCTCTCTCTCTCTCTCTCACCCCTCTCCCTATATCAGTCCCTATATCAGCTGTAGTCACGTACTATCCGCACCTGCTGAAATAGTACGAACGTCGACAATATTCCTCCATATGTGTTAGCCTCCCAACTGAATTGTGCGAGTGAATATCGTCAAGGGTGTCTAAGACGCCCTTTAAACGTCCGATCGTTCTTTAATCTCAGTCCTATTTGCACATACTTCTCATTGAAAGGCTCGGCTTGGCGGTGTATTTACATAGTCGTTTGTTAGCCTCTGACAAATTGCGTTGTTATTCCTTAACTGATACCAGTGAATGCTTTTCTCAACCCTGCCACTACATTGATAGTAAACAATGGTTGTTTGTGACTTACATGACAAGCTGACCGGCGTTCAGTATGGGGACCGCCTCCGTGGTGTAGTGGTTAGAGCGTCCGCCCGGAGAGCGGAAGGTCGCAGGTTCGATCCCCGACCGCGTCATACCAAAGAAGTTAAAATATGGTACTTGTTGGTCCCTGCCTGGCGCTCGGCATTAATGGGTACAACAAGGACTGGTCGGCTCGGAGTCAGTATTGTGTGTTTGAGTGGGGTATTTATGCTTCACTGCGGCATGGTATCTCAGTGGGCTAGCACTATAAAACCAGCTTAAGTCTGGGCTAGTACAAGCAGCCGCACATACACATACACATGCATGCACGTCGTCATATGAGCGAAATATTCTCGAGCACGACGTAAAACACAATTTCACCTCACATCAGTATGGGGAAGTTCACAAATATCAGGTGTTCTTTAACACAAAACACATACAGGTAAAAACCGAAACCAAAGTTTACTTAACAGTTTAATTTTCCACGTCCTTATGGAAACAATACATGGACTTGTTCTTGTTAAAATAATAAGTTTAGTAGTAGTAGTAGTAGTAGTAGTAGTAGCAGTAGTAGTAGTAGTAGTAGTAGTAGTAGCAGCAGCTACACTGGTAGTACTAACAGCAGGTAGTATTTGTAGTAGCAGCAGCATCTATATCTATCCTCGAACGTCTAATAAACCTTGCCATTATCTGGATTACCTGCCCTTGGATTGAAACTGAACCGTAAGACTGCCAATGTCAGAATGACCGAATATGGATCTCATTGTATAAATTAGCAAAATTACAGGTGTGAGAAAATAATCATGTCTGTTTAACACCAATCAATTTACGAGATATATTACGCCCCGTTACGTCGTTTTTGTTTTCAAGGATCTAAAGTTACAATATAAAATCACTGAAGCAAAGAGAAAGGCAAACTATCTCAGGAGGTAAGTATAGGCATTAAAATGATTCTTTTTACCAATCAATTAATTACGTCTAATTGATTCATTAATTGCCTCCCAATCACAAGATACAATTCAGTGAGGAAGATTACAAATGTCAGGACATAAGATGTTGAATAATATGACTGAGCCACTAAAACTACCATTTGACAGTTTCACTGGATGATGTCATAATAGGAAACATGTACATAAATAATGATGCTAAATGTCGCGTATGAATACATCAGCAAGGAAAACATAGTACCTGTTGTCAGAATTATAGTATGACCAGAAATTATTGAGAATTTGTGGAATATGTTTGATTGGATTTCTAGTATAAACAACCTTGACCAGCTATCAAGTGCTTGGTTTCATTCAAGAGAGACAACTCCGTTAATCCTTTTTCATTAGTTTGTGAAGAGTTGTCCAACTGTGTTTACTTGCTAGCAGACGACATTTTCAGTGATCCTCAGTATGGATGATTTAGAGAAGAGGAAGTTGATTTTAGAGTATTATAACAAGGACATCAGATCAGCTAAAGTGATTTCAAGTAGAACAGGCATCCCCTTGTCCACTGTTTATCGTGTTTTGAAAAATTATGCGAATGGATATGGCATTGAGCACCAGGGAGGCGCAGGTAGGCCCAGAAATTTGACTGTCGGTGACAGGAGGCGGTTTGGTATTCTTGTTTCTAAAATTAAACGAAGGAGTTTAGAAAACCTAAGGCTGGATATGATTGATAGAGGAACTGTGGCTGTCTGTAAGGAGACAATTAGAACTGAGCTGCATGCAATGGGTTGGCAGAAAGTCGAGGAATTCCATCACCGATCATGAAACCTGAACAAAGGGAGCGAAGGTTGAACTGGTGCTTACAGCATAGAAATTTTAACTGGGACAATGTGATATTCTCAGATGAAAGTTCTGTGTGGCTGTTTCCTAATACACTGAAATTCTGGACCAAACAAACTGAAACCTTTGTATCAGCGCTCAAAGTACAGTCCGAAATTTAACGTGTGGGGTGGCATATCTGTATTAGGGGCAACGCTCCTCTGTGTATTTGAAGGGAATATGAACAGTGAGCGGTACACATATATTCTCGAGGGACATTTACTTCCATCTGCTCACGTGTTCTATGGACATTTTTGGATTTTCCAGCAGGACAATGACCCAAAACATCGTTCAAATATTGCTGAAATGAAAGAAGAGGTGGTCCAATATTGGGACAGCATGGACCACGACTTTCTAACTTCTTTGATCAGTAGTTTGCCCAGCCGCATTGAAGCCTGCATTGCTGCCCATGGTGACTTGACAAAATACTAACTGTTGACCTGTCTTTGAATCGGAGTTATGTTCTGCTAATATTCACATTTTATACGTGAGTAATGAGTGAAATTTTTTTTTAAAAATACAATCTTTCAATTCTCAATAATTTCTGGTTGTACTGTAATAGCAACTTTAATACATGTGTTGACAGAGCATCATACGATTCTGGGTTCCTCTGTACGCAATTCACTAGAAGCGGTAACCTCAATGGCTGACTGTTACAAAGTTAAATTGGCGGGCGTTACTGAAACGCGCAGCTCAGCCCTGATCACAAATTCACAACAGTACAGATAATTAACAAGTGTCAATGGATTATGCTCAGTTTGTTGAAGGTTAAAGGTCAAATAAAACTATAATATCTGGTGGTTACTGTGCGTAAATGGACGCATAAAGCGATGAATTGTTAAAACGTTACTGTCAGGCACGCTGTCAAAGGTTTGTGTGTGTGTGTGTGTGTGTGCGAGCGCGCGTGTGCGTGCGTGCGCGTGTGTGTTTGTCCTGAAAGTTTATTAAAATTAATGACCATTGAAACTCTCGTGAAAACGTGTGAAAATGAACTGTGCACCACCCCCCCTTGCTAAAAAAAGCTCCATCCGCCAATGGTGTCGCTGAGACACTTACGAAGTACTGACTTGTTCTAAACCAGGCCCCGATTTCTCGAAACAAAATTAAACTTAAGTCGGAGTTTTGACTCAAATTTGAGAAAACGCAGGAATATGCATTTCCCAGAATAAACTGAAATCAATATTAAACTCAAACATAGTAGACAATTTGAGTTTGGTGGATAGATTACTTAAGTTGTTTGGGCTTTTTTTATTTAGAAAATGCAGCTGAGTTAAAAATTCAGCCGTTTCAAATTGTCAAACTCAGTTTGAAATTTGAGTAAAAACGTAAGTTTGTTTCGAGAAATTGGGGCCAGGTCTATGTCTAAACAAATAGCGTAACGTGATTGCACTGACATAGGTTATTTCACAAACAGCAATATGCTTTGAAACTGAAAACATATATAGCTGCAAAACTAATTACAGGATTGTTATTTTGCATTCAGATGGGCAATACTCTTTTATTGTTACCTAATTATTCAGAAACTTTCATACACATATACATTTCGCAGATAAAGTCAATAATAATCCGGGATGTGTACACATATATAGTGACGCTTGCCTTACGAAATAGTTCTTACGTTCACTCATTGTATATATGTATACTAGCTACTAGTCCCTCATTCTATATATGTATATTATCCACCCACTTTGTTAGCGCTTTGAGCATGGGCCTTGTGCATGGAAAAGGCGCATTATAAGTTCACATTTATTATTATTATTATTACGTTCACTAGTTTCAGCGTCCTTTGTCAAACCATACAACAGATTGCTGCAACACATTGTTGACGATGACGTACGCACCGTCCAAGGTTATTGCAGACATGGTCGATGGGTTACAAGTCTGAAATGAGTGCTTGCCGTGGTCACAGGTGCGTGTCACGCTTAGAAACAGAGTTAGAAAGACATATAGGTAAAAAGACCCTACCCTAGTACTATATAAAGGGGTAGGGTCATAGTCCTGTATGTCTTTCTAACGCTGTTTCTAAGCGTGACACGCCCCTGTGGCCTTTTATATAGTACTAGGGTAGGGTCTATATTCCTGTATGTCTTTCTAACGCTGTTTCTAAGCGTGACACGCCCCTGTGGCCTTTTATATAGTACTAGGGTAGGGTCTATATTCCTGTATGTCTTTCTAACGCTGTTTCTAAGCGTGACACGCCCCTGTGGCCTTTTATATAGTACTAGGGTAGGGTCTATATTCCTGTATGTCTTTCTAACGCTGTTTCTAAGCGTGACACGCCCCTGTGGTAGGGTCTATTTTATATAGTACTAGGGTAGGGTCTATATTCCTGTATGTCTTTCTAAGGCTGTTTCTAAGCGTGACACGCCCCTGTGGCCTTTTATATAGTACTA